AGTACATAGATTACATTGAAGGAAAAACAATTGAGGTACAACATTCTCTGAAATTTGACTTCGAACTGTGAGGCTCGGCCCATAAAGATTCTTCGATTTATTAGCATCATATTTCTATTATATATCCTTGTACAAATAGTGTTCATACTAAATCGGCCTTCTCCGCCTTTGATTGCCGCGCAATCTGGATACATTCGGATAAGTGAATTTTGGCAAAGGGCCAAGGGAATAGTTTTCGTGCAAGAGCACTCCGCAGTCTATCGATTTTACTTAAACCGTGGTGACCTTGTCCTCTGCCGTTTTGTACCAGTCGCAACATACTTGAATATCTGCAGAATGGCATATAGGACTAGTTGTAAAAGATTATTTAGAATAATCAATGTTTTGAAAAAAATCTATTAATCTTTCAAAAAATCTTAGAAGTATTTTTTATTTATTTAGTTTTGCAAACTCAGTAATAGTCCTATGCATGCCTATAAATTTAAAATATCAGATTTTGTTAAAGTAAGTATTTTATTGTGATCACAAACAACATCTAGTAAAAACTTCATCCATCCATCCAGCCAGGTCAACGTTCCAATATTTTTTATTTATTTCTGCGTTTTTTTATGTTTATGCGATGTTTACGAATTGTCTAATACTGAATTGTTGGCGATAATCCTATCTGTCCGTTTTTTATATCTTCACAATCGTTTCATTTAATGACAACAAAACAAAAAGCATCTATATTTAGATTTTGTTATTCTTTTCCCACGAATTTTGACGGGCGTGCCAATTTTAATGAGTCTGATATAAAGATAGAATTAGAAAGAGGTGTAAATGACTGGGTTTAGGTTGATAGGATGAATCATTTTATTGAAAAAAATTATTATTATACAGTTCTTGGTATGACCAAGAAAGTTGAAATAGTCTAATATTTAATATAACTTAAGTGGTAAACTCCACACTTAACTACATAAATTTTCACTCCAATTCTTCAAGTTTGTGCCAAACTCCATCGATCCCCGCACTTCTATACCATTATGATCTTGGAATCAGTTTCAAGGCAACATCCCCAATAGCCATATACATTTCATCCAAAACAGACTTTTGGAAATCGGTTATTTCCCCACATCGATATTAGCTCTAAGTGTGTTTTTACATCCGAAATTGCTCCGATTTCTCGAGTTGGCGACTTACCAAAAAACGATGTTGCGGAATTCAATTATAATAACATGATAAGTGGATATAGGGCAGATTGGGGCATAGATGTAAAAAAATGTGTAATCAATTAAATAAAAGTTTAATGAGTGAAATGACTATAAAGAAGAAGAATGCGGACTATTGACTCTAATATCAATATAGTCAATCTCGATTTTTGCGACTTTTATAACGATCTAGCTAGACCTCTAAATATCTTTTCCAAAATCGATTTGTTTTATTTTCATCGAATTCTGGACCAACAGCCAGGGGTCGAGCAGATCGACCTTGATGCAGTAGTGCTGTCGACGCGCAGTAATCGATATTCGCGATATAGTCAGTTCAGTATGTACTTGCGGAAAGCGCAATGCGACAAAGTTACAAAACACATATGGAGAAGCCCATCTTATAATTAGGAGGAAACAAATTAATGAGAAAATTGCGGAAATTAGATGGCATTTATTACTTTTTTATTGGATCTCCAAAACCGCTGCACTGCCTATCCAAAAAATTAATCAGTTCTTCATTTCGTCAATATAAATAACATGTTTTTTGAGACATCCAAATTGGATGCTCCGTTCTCCTAAAAACGGAATTGCCATTTTCAGCACTTTTTGCCCCTAATCTTCGAAACGCCTGGACCAGACTTTGCCAAAAACAAATCAGCACATCTCCCTATCAATAGGATTTGATTGATTCGATTCGGTTGATCCATGCGCCCGAAAACGTGGACGAAAAATTGTATCCATACATATACACACACATCCATTTTTTCGAAAATATGCCAAATGTTCAGAAACCTTCAAAACGTGAAGAAATGCCAAAAATTTCAATTTCGATTTTTGGACGATTACTATTACCTTTCTTACCCTACGAGATGTTAAAAATAAAAATATGCTATCCTCTGTCCGTTCTTTCAATATTAAGTGCCGACAAGTGTTTACTAATAATATCAACACACATTTCGCGAATTGTAACAGTTATAAATGATTGTCGAAATGAAGAAACAGAGTCAGTCCGAAATAAAAACAGAGGCGTCGAACGGCGCCCCACGCCTTCTATTTATATCACGGACGGTCATCGTTATATTTTATGGTGCTATCAATCTTATCAAGGCCGCTTTTTATGCTCGACTATGGCTTTTCTATGCTAATACTAAATGAAAGATTATGCTGGGAAATGGAAATGGAAAATTCGAACGCCCTACTGTTTTATTTCGCTCTGTTCATGAAACAATGATGAACGGAATCAATAGGCGGCAGAAGGTAATTGAAAATTCAGTAAACCAGGAGGTAAATACTGAAGGCTCTTGCAAACGGCGTTATGATCAAATTATATTTTGGTGCAACATATTTTTGAAGTAAAACTTCTTTAGGGTGTAAATCCGTACAAATGGAACAGAAGTCCGTTACACCCAAACTGTTCGTCATCCGCTCTCGATGAAATCATTTCAATGCGGGTCGATTGTGATTAGTCGTCGTGTATGTGAATAGAGATCTGTAGTTGTATGGGTACCGGCATCAACGTTGTATGCGTACCGATATCAACAAGGAAATTGGCATAGATAAATAAACATTTTAAAGTTACATCGTAGTACAAATCTTGGTTTAATGAAAAATGCCTAAATCAGAAGATGGATTAGAAATTATTTCTATATTATTGGTAGTTTCTATAAATCTTTGAAGTTATTAAAATCGAAAATATTTTTTAGGCAAGACAGATATTACAGCTGTTCAAAGATATGAAAATATATCGCCAGCGAAAAAGTAAAAAAAATACAACAAGTCAATGAATGTATGTTAATTTTAATTACATGAAATTCTTCAAATACAATAATTTGTGAAAACAATATTTGTTTAGGCGTTGTTTAACATAATCCACTATGTGAACGAATATTATAGAAGTTATTAATCAGCAATTACTTCATTTCTCTAATGAAGGTTCTTAAGTTAATTTTTTTATTTCAAAATTCTCAAATACCAAAAACACAATTCCTTAATATAATGATAATAATTGATTTTGTGATTTTTAATAAGTTTTAACAAACGGCATACTATCTAAACTAAACTGATTTTGAGATATGGTAAAAAGGGAGAAAGATGAAGTATGTTGGTTCGAACAAGTTTCCATTATTGCATTGAGTCAGCGCTCTACATTAACATGATCTGAAGACCGCAGAATCGAAAATAAGTTTTTTTGATCCCTCGCCTTTTTCGTGTGTGATTTGACTTTTTAAATAATACATCGTATTTGAGGTTCAAATTACCATTTAATTTACTTAATTTACTTTTCTCCAGCTAAGTGGTGAATTAACAAAATTATTGCTGATCAAAAAAATTACACAATCGTACCCAGTTTCTCCTACGATCTGTATAAGAAACATCTTTAGGGGATGCTGATCAAAATAAAAAATACACAACCGTACCCAGTCTCCCTTACGATCTGTATAAGAAATATCTTTAAGTTATATATAAATATACACAGTAAGAAAATCTAAACTAAAATCGGTTCAGTAATTTAGGAGTCAATTCCAGACAAACGTCGTGACCCATACTTTAATCATACATAACTATTCAGTGGAAAATAACTAATTACTTTAATTAATTAATTAAATTTACGAGAATAATCTGCATCAATCTAGTTAATTAAATGGCTAAGAGTACATGAACTAGTAGTCCAATTTCTTCTAATATTTCATTCGACACAAACAAAAATTTTCTCGAAAATAATTTAATTAAATCATGAAAGTTTATTCCATTTCAGTTGTTCATCACTCAATTCAAAAACATGTTTTTTTTGATAAATTATTATCCTGTTTTCGTGTTTTTCTCGATTTCTGAATTCTTGCCAAGGAGTGAATGTCAACAGAGGAACGCGAATAATAAAATATCGATATTACGTTTATGATAATTTGCAACCTTCTTTACGACAATCGTTAAACTCCAAAATATTTTGGCAAAAGCGCATTCCATTAGGCTCCGCCATGGAATTTACTAATATTATCGATTGCGCTGGATACTTATTATATTTTTCCTTTTCCAGTGTATGCGTTCTTATGCAAGATTCGAAGTATTAGCCGGTGCCTACACAATAACCTGCCCCGATGCCGAATGTCCAGCCAGAGGCGTCCAGCCTGGCACAGTTGTGCAGCCCACCAGCACTCTCACCCAGGACGAAATTAAAACATTGGCTGGCGAGAGGCTGCTGCAGAAAACACAATCAGTACAGACTGAACAGAGGTAAGAAGTTAGAAGATACAATTTAAAAATTATTTTATTATTGTTATTATTATTTATTTTTTAGAAATCGATATGGATCGTACGAGAACCTGGTGCCCTCGTGCAGGTTGCGAGACTGTTTGCTCGGTGGCTGCTCCAGATGGTACTACAGCTGCTGCAGGTGCTGCTTCAACAGCAGCAGGATCTAGTTTGGGGGCTGCTGCTCCCAGAAGACCTCCTGTGTGTGCTGTGCAATGTCCAACGTGCAGTGATGAATTCTGCTCCAGTTGTAAAAAACAGGTAAGAAATAATAATTACTTGAATACAAATTCCCTTTTTTACAAATTGGTTTTTATTAATTTATTTCTATTAGTGGCATCCAGGGCAAACTTGCGAGCAATATGCACTGACACTAGGAGCTGAAGAAGGATTTCCGTTACTTTTGGCAGGCCCTGGTGGCTCCGAGTTGATCAAAAGCTGTCCACTTTGTTCAGTGCCAATCGAGAAAGATGAAGGCTGTGCTCAAATGATGTGCAAGAGGTGTAAACATGTCTTCTGCTGGTACTGTCTTACTTCACTCGATGTAAGTAGTTTGAGATCATACACCTTATACGATCATGATCATGATCAATTAATACAATTACAGTCTGTAATTTTGCTTGGATTTTGTGTATATGAATTGTATCATTTTTCTTATTTTCAGGATGATTTTCTGTTACGCCACTACGACAAGGGGCCATGCAAAAACAAATTAGGACATTCTAGAGCTTCCGTAATCTGGCATAGAACACAGGTAATAATACTGATCATTCAGTTGTTTCTCCATTGAATAGTCGGAGTGGTAGAAATGTGTCAATTACACTTTTCAATTAATTTTTAGGTAATTGGAATATTCGCTGGCTTTGGCATTCTACTCTTAGTTGCTTCACCTCTTTTATTGCTAGCGGCACCTTGTATAGTTTGTTGTAAGTGCAGAGTGTGCAACGGAGCTGCAAGATTGGACCAGGAAGAAGGAGAAGATCAGGATGGACATGACGGAGATGATGATGGTTGAATTGATAATTTAATATAATGGTAAATGATATGCAGAATTTGAAAGAGATTTGAAAAACATCAGCAAGAATGTAAGGAAATTTTAGTTCAGAAAATCAGTCGGTCAATGAAGGTTAGTTAACCAGGATTAGATTGTTGAGAAATGAGAGGAATGTTTATTTTGAAATATCAGTACGTGATTAAAACAAGAACAAAAGAAAAGTAGTAGTTTGTACAAAGTAGTCTCCACAACAAAATTTTATAGGCGTTCTCACGATGTCATTAACTACCATCAATGTTAAGAAAATATAGTATTGTAATTGCTGAAACTTAACACCCAGGCATCATGTTTAGGTTTATCTATATTTTTGCCTTGAGAACAGGTTCTTCCAAATAATGTATAAAGTATGAATTTTTTGCATTAAATCATGTGTTATTAATAACATCAAAATGGACTAAAAATGCATATCAAGGCCTAATTTATTGTTTATTAGTGAAGTGATACTTAATATAATAATTCACAAAAACAATTTGACTTGTACTTATTAATCAACAATGTGATTTAAACGAGTGGTAAAAATGTGCTTCTATTATGACATTGAACTTAGAAAGAGTTTTTATTTTATATTTATAATATTTTTTATTTAAGTTGCATCTAAAATGAGTTGGCAGCGGTGATATTGATATTACTAAGTGATCACTAATGTTATTTTTAGTTTAGACTTATATAAAATATGGTCTATTGTGAAATGTGTTTGCTGAAGTAAAGGATAGAATGATATGTGATATATATTAATCGAAAAATTGTTGATATATATGTATATATATATATATATATATATATATATATATATAATAATAAATATTGACAATTTTACTTAAATATGCTAGTGATAATTAAAATTTATAATGGTCTGCGTTTGAATATATATATATATATATATATATATATATATATATATATATATATATATATGATTGTCTTTTTATATTTAATAAATAGAGCAGCCAATTTGTCGAATTTTATAAAATAATTTAATTAACAATACCTTATTTATACGTTTAGAAACTTGATAGGTGTCATCAATAAGTTGTTTTTATAAAATTTGTATTAACAAATATGAACTTTATAAATTTTTATAAATGTTAAAAATAAAGATTTATAAACCTATTCATTTATAAACTTATAAAACATAAAAAAATATTTATATGTACCTCATTTTTTATCAAACGTGATTTTTTTAAAAATATATTTGTTATTAATATTTTTTCAGTTCATCATTTATTTGATCAATTTATAAATTTCATTTCTATGTTTAATCATATTTATATTTATGAAATTTTATAAAGTTTATACTTTCATTTTTTATATTTTTTATTTTATTGTTAATTAAATTATAATTGGATAAATTTAGAGAAAATGTTTTATAGATATAATTTTCATTCATTATTTCATTTTAACAATCACTTTAACATAATTTTTTTATATATCTTATTATATTTTCGTGTTTTAGACTTTTTGTGTTAATTAAATTACAAAGTTAATTTTATAAAAAATGTTTTAACCTTTTCGTACTGTTTTTTTTTGAACTGCTAAATGATGACACACAACAAGTTTCTAAACGTATACATAAAAAATTGTTATCGATTAATTCATTTTTTGACTGGCAGCTTTGTATATATTTATATATATATATATATATATATATATATATATATATATATATATATACAATTTGTTTTTATTAAGCACGGCCTAACATATTCACTTATTTCATAAGTAAGTATATGAATAAATAATTGTAAATAATTTCTCTTAACTTATATTAAAATTTTGAATTTCTAACACTCTAGATAGACATCACAGATTTTTTTATTGATATTGAATTTAATTCTCGATAAAAAAAGGTTGTGATGCACAGGAAATAAATATACATATATATTTTTTTTATAGTTTATAGTTGTAATATATATACAATCATAATTAAATACACAATATTATATATGTTTACTATAGATACACGAATGGCATTGTTTGACTTAAACTTATAATGCACGATTGGGGATATATATATATATATATATATATATATATATATATATATATATTAAGTGGATGGATTATTATGTATGGTATGAGTGGCCTGACGTACAAAACAAAATTTGTTTCTGAATATTCTAAACACGAACAAATTGATTTTGTAAATTACAATCTAACATATGATTTATTATAGAAAAATTAAATTTTTATTTTGCATTGTTAGTGAAACCAAAACAAATGAGGGGATGTTCTGTTCATAAAATTTCATTCATATTTATAATTGACTTTCAATTTTTCAATGGCTATTGTTATAAAGTTAAATTTGTTTAATTAAACAATATAAATATATATATTAGGTTGTCAAATATCTCCCTTCCGCTTTTATATATATATATATATATATATATATATATATATATAAAAGCGGAAGGGAGATATTTGACAACCTAATATATATATATATATATATATATATGTTTATAATTCTAATATTGCTTTATTGGATTTTTACTCAAAATAAAAATTTAATTCTCCTATTACCATGATGGAATTGAATCAGTTGTGAATTATTCAGTGTGATGGTGTGTGTTGATGTTGTATATTTTTTATAAAGAAGATACTTAGTAAGCGAATTATATTATATATTAAATATAATGAATAATAATTAATTATATTATTATCATCAAAGTGTTTTTAGCTAACATAATTCTTTCCGGAGGGCAGATATTTTTATGCACACATTGTGTAGTCATTGTGACGAATGTAATAATATGATATTGAGTATTTTTAATATATTGAAACATTAAATATTTACTAAAAACTTAAAAGTTAAACCGTGTTTCATTATTAGGAATAATAGAAATATTTTTTGCATATTGCATATAGCATATTATAAGTGGGTTTTTGCCTTAAGATGAGTTGCATGAACAATGAGACTTCAAAACTGTAAATTATGAGTGATTTTTAAGTATATCGAGTTTTTTTAAAGCAATATAATTAAAGAACTTTCCGACATGTATAAATAATACAGTTAATCAATAAGAAATCAACATTCAAAGGCCATGTTACGTAGCGTTTTTCATACAAAATGGTACTAAAAACTGTCAAAATGCTATTTATTTACAGATAAAAGGCAACTTCACTCATATGTTATTATTACACAAAGATGCACATATGATAAGATTGTGCGTTTTCTAGGTTAGGTTATTTAACCATTTAACCAAGACAGTTTTTAGTACCATTTTATATGAAAAATACAGTATAACATAGCTTTGCCATAACATTTTACGGGAGAATCGGCAGAAACTGACTGACTTTTACCAAATCAGATATTAATATAAAAGGTTGTCCTAACCTGTCTCCAAATTGACCTTATCCCAATGCACAACAAAAAACTCGTTATCCCCTCTTGAATAAATATTTTTTCCTTACGTCTTATCTATTTCATTTAAATAAAGTTCAACACAAGGCCGTCCTCTTTCTAATAATTGAAGATATAATAGAACCATCCATGTCACACCTAAAATTTCTAATATTTCATTTAAATTTCTTTGTGTTAATTTAATTTTATACTAGACATGGATAAATGAATTAAGTGAAAAAATGAGTTAGAATGTATAGTAAACATATTTTCATCTTCTTTTTTGTACTAACTTTTACTTTTTTGTTTACTTGCGCCCAACTTCTCTGCAATGTTTAATTTTGAAATTTTTTTCTTATATTTTATATATTTTAATTTGATAACATTTTCATGATTTTTTACGGATTTATACTTTTAATTATATTAATAATAATTAGTTCTATTATCAATAACTAGAATATATTAACTAAATTTCAAATAATTATTTTCATAAAATGTTGTTTGCGTGAATTTGGTTTAAAAATATTTTCCGTTATAGCAACACCATGCGCCTAATAAATAACAATGATGGCTTCTTTTGTGTTTGCGGGTTTTTAAATTTGAAATTGCTTATATTATGGAAATTATCGAGGCAATTTTTTTAAATTAGTGTGTTTAGTAATAGATAGTGATATCAAAATTATTACTCGATGCATATCTGTTTTGAAGATTGCGTGTGGAAGTAGTAACAACAATTTAAAGTGCTCTGATGACAGTGGCGAACTTTTAACAGGTATTTCAAATTTGATATTATAAATATATATATATATATATATATATATATATATATATATATATATCATAAATGTTTCTGAAATTATGGTCATGAATTAATTTTGTTAATCAATTTTTGGAAAATGTTTTTTTCATTTTATTAATTTTATACAGAAGAGAGTGTACGGCTATTTCTAGATAATAATAACATTTCTTATATTTAAAAAAAATATTATTAGATAAATTATGAAATCTAAGTTAACTAAGGCCATATGGCCATATTACATAGTCAAAATTATTGCTTTATATTTCATTGTTAATTTCTATTTTGTCTCTGTACAAATCGTTATCAATCCCGTTATCTTTTAAGTACGTCATAATTTCTTAACAGTTGTTTTTTGCAATCGATAATTCACCGCAAATGAATTATTAATACATATATGGGTCATACAAATATTTAACAGTAAATACAACCACAACAAAAATATTTTTGAATTCACAGTTACGCATTTTGGTATATACATTTTTAACTTCCCGTAGGGTAAGTTATTGTAATGGGCCGAAAATCGGAATTGAAATTTTTTACATTTCTCGACGTTTTGAAGGTTTCTGAACGTTTTGGCATACCTCAGAAAAAATGGATGTGTGTGTGTGTGTGTGTGTGTGTGTATGTATGTGTGGATACAAATTTCCAGTCACGTTTCAGGGCGCACGGATCAACCGATTTGAATGGTTTAAAAAACATTCGATTCCTATTGATAGGGAAAAGAGCTGATTAGTTTTTGGCAAAGGCAGGTCCAGCCGTTTCGGAGATACGGAGCAAAGAGTGCAGAAAATAGAAATCGAATTTTTGAGAGAACGGAGTATCCGATTTGAATGATCTAAAAAACATTCAATTTTGGCAAAGGCAGGCCCAGCCATTTTGAAGATACGGAGCTAAATATGTAAAAAATGGCAGTTTTTGAGAAAACTAAGCGTCCGATTCAAATGATTCAAAGAACTTTCTGCTTGTCTTAACAAAATAATAGATTTTGGAAAAAAAATTTTGTTCCTTTTTTTTTTTTTTTTTTTTTTTTTTTTTTTTTTTTTTTTTTTTAGTTTTTTGTATATCGAAAATATTTCAGATTTTATTTTCAATTCTGACTATAGTTCTAATATACTTTACAAATAATTTCAACTCTGTGCAATTCAGTTTATATAATTCTTATAAATATTAAACAATGTTACAATATTTATAATAATCTATTTGAAAACATTCAGTATTCCTCGAACATTTTGTTACGGTGCGGGAAGTTCCAGCAATTTGCCTTAAGGCACGATGCCATAATTGCCTCAAGACAGAATTCCACTTACAGCTAGTTTTAACTTAAAATTGACTAAGAAAATGTAAAAAATATGATGAAATGTATATATCAATTTTTACACATTATAATGTTTCATTAAAATTATCCAATAAATCTGATGAATAAATAATTAATTTATAAATCAATAATTCAATTCCGGTAGCATGTTTGATATAATCTGAAATGATCTGAAGTTCGCCCATAACGTACCAACATAAAAATAAGAAATATAAGTTTAAATTGAATTGATGAATTGATATTTTAAATTATGCAAATTTGTTAATTTCATCAAATAATAATCTCTAGTTACGCTACTGTTTAAATCTATTACAATATTTATTATCCATAAGAGTGGGGCGTAGAAATCTTGTTAATAACACTTGTCATTTTCTTCAGTTCAGTAGAGAACAGCATGAGTTCCGTTCCGGCAGTACGAATTTCTTTGAATAAATGTTGTTTTCCTTCAAAATAAGTGACAGTAATAGTCGAGATAAGAGATTGTTTACAAAATGTGATTTTAGTTATGATATTGCATTCGTTTTAGATAATGTTGATAATCGATATTTCGCAGTTCTCGTGGTTGTTTTGAAAATTTTACAAGTGCGGATTGTTATATAAGATTTAGTTTACATATTTGGTGCAGCTATGATAATGAATAATATATTGCAGTTATGATAATTAATAATAATGATGTAGCTATGACAATAAATTTTGTTATTATTTTTAAAAGCTAATATTCAGATGAACAAAATTTGTCAACAAAATCAACCGAAAAGTTGAATTAAACGATCACGAAAGTTGAATTTGAATCACTTAATTTTTTTGTGGTAGTAAATTAAATCTATAGTAAATTAAAATGTTATACTCTTAAGCTTTCAATTGCGTTAAAAAAAGTTGCAAGTTTTATAATTGGCTCTATTTGGTAGTTAAATTTCTTGTTTTCTAATATATTTAGTTTTTTTTTATAAATTCTGTCTTTAAGAGTCACATAAATATTGTATAAATATTGTTACAATAGACAATTCAAGTTTATCTTTACAAAATTGCAAATAAATATATATACAATATTTTTATAGATATTCATAAATGTGATGAAAAATAATTGTGATAAATAAATAGGTGTGATATATAAAACAAATAATATTGATATTCTATTATAAGAAAATTTATTATTTATAAATAAAATTTTGATATTTTATTAAAAGAAAATTTATTATTTATAAATAAAAATTTAACACAAAGTAATATTCAAAATTAAATGTGATAAAATGACTGAGTATCAGGATGTTTTTACCGAAAAGGAACTTAAAGATATTGAGAAAGAATTTATAAGACTGAAAGGTAAATAAAATTAAATGCAAAATAGGAAATATATAAAAATTCAATCAAAAATCTATTTGTACAAATTACCGAAAAATTATACAAATGGTGGTAATAATTAAATAATATACTCAAAACATATTTCGAGGTTTGATATCGATAATTTTGTAGTTTTGTAAATTTCATCATATATTATGTAAATTCTTAATTAGAATTTGTAATAAAAATTTGATTTTCACGTTTAGTTTGTAATTTGAAAACGTAACAGAAACGAAATAGTCCTTTACATTCTTGAGACAATAGGTTAGACATCTTTCAAGTTACGTAACCGCCACGTTCGACTTTACATCTGTTACGCTATATAAACGTTTTAATTACGTTTTGTAGTTTACTTGGCATATAGTAGTAAAAATTGATGGATATTTTTAGGGGAGCATTATTTGGACCATGCTGGCAGTGGTCTCTATGCAGAATCTCAAATTTCTGAAATTTTCAAGGAGCTGTCGCAGAATTTGTATTCGAATCCACATACGAGCAAACATGTCGGCGATTGCATTGAGCAAATAAGATACAGGTTTGGCAAATAATAAGATAAACTATATTATATACATATATGTATATTTATCTTGTGATGTCTATCTATTTTTATTTCTTCAGGATATTGAAGCATTTCAATACTGATTCAAATGAATACAGTGTAGTATTTACATCAGGAGCTACTGCTGCACTTAAATTAGCTGTCGAATGTTTTGACTTCAAAAAAAGTAATTTTATCAAACAAAAAAATAGAACTTGCAATAAAAATCAAACAAATGCAGAAAACAGTTTGATTCAAAATATCAATATTGGGAAAGAAAATAATAACACAGACGTATTTGATCAAGAAACGACATTGGATCATGATGATACAAATTGTTCTAAATTTGTTAATAATAAATTTAATATCAATTCAAATATTTCAAATCAAAATGTACAACCGTTTTCTGGGACATTCGCCTATCTTCAAGATTGTCATACATCAGCGTTGGGTCTGCGTGAAGTTGCAGCTTGTACAAAAAATGCAAAAATCAAATGCGTTTCAAGAGAAGATTTTTTGAAAAAGGATAATTTTGAATATTTCGAGACAATTGGATCAGAGGACAATAATTTGTTTGTATATCCAGCACAATGCAATTTCAGGTAATTAAAAAATAGTAATAGATGAAAACAAAATTGAGCAAAATGGAGGTTATAAATGTCAACTGTTAAACTGTCAAACATTTTTCAAATATTTTCTGGTATTAATGTAATTACTGATTTATGACTTTAATAATCAGATTTCCTAAAAGTTTTAGATAAAAGCAACATTAATTTATCTTTTATTCCTTAGTGGTTATAAGTATCCCCTCGATCTACATATACCGCCCAATTGGTACATATTACTAGACGCCGCAAGCTATGTTGCCAACAGTCACCTAGATTTGGCCAAAACAAAACCGAATTTTGTCGCAATTTCTTTTTACAAAATATTCGGATACCCCACGGGTCTAGGAGCTTTGCTAGTACGAAAAGACTCCGCTGATTTACTAGGAGATAAAAGATACTTCGGAGGGGGCACCGTTGAAATAGCTTTGAGCGGCTGCAGGTTCCACAAAACGAGGAAAGATATAAGTGAACGGTGAGATAATGGATTAAAAATATTGAATAAAAGTGATATTAATTTTTATTTAAGGTTAGAAGACGGTACAGTGTCTTTTCTTTCAATACTTTCCTTAAGACATGGATTTGATGTCTTGGAGCGCCTGGTGCCACCTACCAGAAATTGTCAAACAATGCAAAGAATTTCTGGACATACTTTTGGTTTAGCAAGATATGCTTATCAAGAATTAAGCAGATTATGTCATTTAAATCTTAAACCTGCGGTCAAGATTTATAAGGATACTGATTATGAAGCCGTTGAAAAACAAGGAGGGGTTGTTAATTTTAATGTTTTGGGTTCAGATGGGAGCTATATTGGTTTTGCAGAGGTAAGGAGATTTTTGAGACCAATATTGGTCAGACAAATATTGGCAATAATTACCAATAATCTGTTTCAAGGTAGAACATATGGCAAGTTTGTATAACATTCACCTAAGAACTGGTTGCTTTTGCAATCCTGGTGCATGCCAAAGGCATCTTCAACTTACTGATGATGAACTGAGAAAACACCATTTGGTAAATACTTATGAAATATACGTAATATATACGTAATATTTCTGAATGATATTACTTGCTTAAAATTTAACGATACTAAGAATATTTGTTTTAGATATAACAAAGCTGAAGTCGATTATTGGCCTATTAATTTTTTTATCTATTTATTAGGCTGGTCATGTTTGTGGAGATGAAAACGACCTCATTGACGGCATTCCGACGGGTTCAGTACGTATTTCATTTGGTTACTATTCTACAAAAAGGGATGTGGACGCTTTGATACAGATGATAAAAACTTGCTACATCGATACCTGTCTTAAAAATAATGAATTGGAAATTAATCTGGATACAAAATTAAATAAGTCGAGGAATATTGCATCAGAATTAATTGAACGACCTGCAAAGTGCATGGATGCTTTACAGAAATCTTTGGAAATTGATAAATTACAAGCTGATATTGATGTTATTAAAAGTTATGATAAAAATATACCAAGGCAAAATATGTTGGCAAATTTACTATCACATGGTGCAAGTTTGTTAACATATACTAAGAATTTTATAAAGACTCCAAAACCAAAGTTAAATGAGGTGGATTGCAATCCAAGCCAAAATGTTGCCAAAAAATATATGAATCAAGAAGAAGATATTACACTATCAAATTCCCAAATGGAAACAATAACAAATGTCACCAATAAGTATTTAAACACTAGTGGTAAGAATTTTAATGGTAAAACGACAACAAAAATGTATCCTATACAAACCAATAATGATGTAAAAAATATTTTTATTACCAATTCTTCTGATACAAGTACAAGCCAGCTAAACCTTGATATCAGTATCAACCAACAAAAATCTACTTCTCTCCATTTCTATGAGCCAAGTTTAACAAAAAATGTGGTTCCATCTCCACCACGTTTGCAAAGTATTTGTGTGTACCCAGTAAAATCTTGTGGAGCCTATAAAGTTACCGATTCTTGGCCAGTTGGCCCCAAAGGATTATTGTACGATAGGGAATGGATGGTGGTTTTGCCCTCAGGAGCAGCTTTGACACAAAAACATGATCCTGGACTTTGTAAAATAAGGCCTAGAGTAGATCTGGAGCGAGGTGTACTTGTCTTAAGTTTTTCAGGTAGGTAAATAGATATAATAGTAATAATATATTCTTTAATAACAATTATATCTTATCAGGTTTGGAAGATATATCTGTACCACTTGCTGAGTCTAAAACAAATCTTTTTGCTTCGACCAAATTATGTAGCAACCCTTCTGGTAGCACCAGCAGGGTTTGTGGGGATGCTGTGGGTGCTTCGGACTGCGGAGACGAAGTTGCCCTTTGGTTAGAAAGTGCTTTGGGGCGTCAGGGTGTGAGACTCGTTAGGCAATGTGAAAAACGATCTAAAGCTAATGGTAAAATACACATATTTATTATAATTAACCAGTGCTGTTTGTACATTTTTTAATTATTTTTAGATAAACAAATATCTTTGGTAAACCGTGCGCAATATTTGTTGATCAATAGCACCAGCGTCCAGTGGCTTTTGGACAGATCCAGATCTCAGAATTTAACAAATGATTGCTTGGATGATCTTGAAAATTATCTAGATAGATTTCGTGCAAATTTGATTGTATCTGCTCCAAGCCCTTTGGAAGAGAATAATTGGAAATGTTTGGAGACTGAAGGAAGTTTTAAATTAAAGGTAACAATTGCAGAAACTTATTTTCAGATCATCTTTTTATAGATAATCTATTGATCATCTGAATGACTTGCTTTATTGATCATCTGAATGATTTTACTGCAGGATTTCTATGTAGAATATTGCTTTACTTTCTACATGAAAAATATTTTCTTTTTTCAGTATAAGATCATTTGCTTAATACTGTATTTTCTAATAATATTTCATTCATTTATTTATAAAAATGCAGTTCATTCCATTACTGCTATTTTTGATTCCATTTAATTAAATTTTAATCTATCGTCTTTATTTTTAGGTTGATGGTCCCTGTTCGAGATGCCAAATAATTTGCATAGACCAAAAAACTGGCCAAAAATCACCAGAACCACTTCGAGTCATATCAAATGAATTTCATGGAAAAAGAACTTTTGGCGTTTATCTATCAGCTGAAGATAACGTTTCGAATAAACAATATGGCATCATCAGATGCGGAGAAATTATAACTCAAACTGATGGGATAGATTGACCAGAAAATTAAGAGATAGATATCAATTAAAATAAGGGAATCATGTTTTGTGAACAAGTAACATAGAATTTAACAATTTGAGCACTGTCTGTTTTGATTGGAGGGTCAAAAATGAAAAATTGATGATTTTAGAGAAGTTGAAGGTCATGAATTTGTATTATGATGATTATATTTTAAGTAATTCTTAGCTGGAAAAGTAACTATCATGCATCGGTTTGAAGAATTTTGATATAAAATAAACAACAAATTTAATATATCAATGCTTAAAGTAAATTTGAAGTATTCGATTGTAGCAAAAACCTTAAATGCAATTTCTTAATGTTACATTTAAGCATTTGACAGTTGCAAACGGTCAAATCAAAACATTCATAAAAATACAAAGCAAGTATGTATTGCTAGTACTAAATATTAATCTCACTTACCATCTTACCAAGTATATAAAATCACAAACACTTACAAATTATAATACATTTATAGTACTTGTTTTCACAAATCACAACATTAATCTGTCACAACAGTTTAAACAGTTACGCCATTTTGAGGGAGTGCAAACTTGAAGAACTAAGGATATGACAGTTGCGGAGTAGGAAAAAATATAAAATATTTAAAATAATTTAATAAAAATTATATAATAGCTATATAATTTTTGTCAGGTATATCTTAAATACTATGCTATTAAATACTATCAAGTAAATTGATAATTAATTTATTTATTAATATTTTGATACTGAATTGATCAGGGGCGTAACGTGCCTTGGCGGGGCTCCGTATCAAAATCGGTTTGGGGGGCCCCCTAAAGATTTTTCATAATTCAAAGAAACATAAAAAGATTAATAAATTCATTTAATAAAATTAAAAGAACATTTATTTATCAAATTTTCAAATATACGTCGAATATTATTTTTAATATTTTACAAGTAACTATAATTAAATATTCACTCTCCTTGCCTTTTTATCAGCAAACTGATTTATTAAGTCATTTATAGCTGATGATGTTTTTATTTTTTCTAATGTTTCTGCCTCTATGGACAATAGAGACATGTCTGATAGACGTTCCTGTTTTATTGATGTTCTGAGGTAATTTTTGATTAATTTTAATTTTGAAAAACTCCTTTCAGCAGTTGCGGTTGTAACTGGAAGGGTCAAGAATAAAATGCAAGCTGTTATTACATCCGGAAAACTGGATGCAATACTATTACATTTTGTTAATAATAATTCAGCGAGTTCTTTAATGGAATGAATATTTTCGATTTCTAATTTTAAGCATGCTTTTAGATTATCAATTGATCGCAAAGATTACCTGATAGATCTTTGCAGTATTTTGTCGTCAGTTTTCCGGAAGCAATTATTATTTCTTCATTTGAAGAAGACATGAGTTTTTCCGGTTGCAATATTCACGTCACAAAGGTTTTGAAACCTTTGTTTTGTTTGAGAAATTAAAATATCTAAACAGCAATAGTACACGTTTACTTTAAAATATGATTCAGGGTCTAAAATTCTCTTGTCTTGTGATAACTCATCGAAAAATCGCTTTGTTATCTTCCGCCTCTTGTTTTTAAAAATTGTTTTTATATTTCAATTCTTTGCTAAATCCTTAGTATTCCTTAACAAAATAAGGAATGAATTTTTATGCCTCAATTCGCGCAGACTCTTTAAAAGATTTCCTAATAGTATGCTAGTTCGTTGTAAGTCATTACTCACATCCTGTAGAGCTTTCGAAATTGGATTAATAATTTGAAACAATAAAGAAAAAAATGTTACGAGCACTAAAATATCATAGCTTTCTAAAAGGTTAATTAAATTCTTACATTCTTCACGTTCATCTTTTTTTTAGAAATTAAATTTAATTTATACAGAATTTTTACTATTAATAAATAGTTTTTGCTTATTGCTAATAAGGCGTCGTTCCTTGAAAACCATCTGGTAGGGCATACCCTTTTAAGTGTTACTAAATATTCCTCGGAAGAATCTTGATTTAGCATTGACCAGCGTTATTGTATGCTATTGCCAAAAAACGTGTATATTTTTTCGATTTAAGAAATTTTTGGCATTTTTTATGACTTCATCTTTTTCTGTTTAATTTTTCGTTTTCTTTTTACTCATTGTTTTCTTTAAATCACCACTAACACTTTTCTACAAATCATCACTAAACCAAAACACTAGTGGTTTGTATTGTAATACAAAATAATTCACAATCACTGAAATATGTAAATAACCCCCGCTGTCTTTCAATATATAAACCCTTCGACTAACTCTGGCAATTATCATATGATTGTATTTTTTCTAACGTCTTTAGTTCTGTACCAAATGTTGTACTTCTTGTCCATTTTGGGTCAGTTGGAAAAAATATTACTTATTAAAAGAAATCCCTGCCGTTCGTTCGTCGCTTGTCAACATATCATTGTATTTTGGGTACGCATAACTGTACATTGTTTATTGAGGGTTTTACATTGATTATTGAGGGATAAACGGGGAAACCCCGTAGGCCAAACATGCCGACAATCGATGTAAGTTGTCCCGACAATAAAAAGAAATTAATTTTTTGACTTTGTCGTTTGTGAAATAAATAAAAAGTTTTTCTCAATTTCTGTTAACGCTCGTTGGGGGCCCCCTGGGACCGGGGGCCCCGTATCATTGATACGGCTGATACGGCGGTAGTTACGCCCCTGGAATTGATGTACACTAAGTATTTAAGATGAATTAAATGTGTATCTCCACAAATATTCTGAGGATACTTCTTTTATAATAAAAATTACTTCTACAATTTGGTAATTTCTGTTACAAATTTTCGGCAAATTTTGCCTTTAAAAAAGTCCTAGAAAAAGTTTCCTTAATTTTTCTATTAGTTTCTAACAAGATTCTATTTTGACGTCTATTGAAATTTTTATATACTGACACAGAAGGATTCTTATTAGATGCTCTTTGTTGACGGTTGAGTTCTAACGGTAAATTACAAATAAATCATTGATGGCAAATGATTTTTTGTATACAAACTAAAATAATCCTTTGACAACAAATATCTCTTATACTTACTAAATTTCATTTTACTTACTAAATTCTCCATACACTGAAATATTTTTTTTATTAAAATGCAACAATTAACTGAACTATAACTTGCTCTTTTATTGCTCATCATATAAGGCTCAACAGAAAATCATTATTAATATTACATATTTTTATAGTGATTTCATTGATATAACCTTACATCTATTTTTTAATTCATTTAATACCTAGTGCCAAATAAAAAAGTTATGCATATAAGTGTTAACAATTTAAATGCTTACATATAGGACATTTACTTGAGGCCAAGTTATATTGACAATATTCAGTTGATGCACGAATAAAATAAAATGATTTAATTATAATCATTCTATTCGTACAACGATTTTATACAATCAATCTGAAGCTACAAACTAGAATTATATAAATACATTTTAATACTATACAAATACACAGAAATATTTCATCCTCATCGTCCTACACAAATACAACCTAAAATGTCTTACAAGACGTTCATATATCACGAAAGAATAAAAATTAAGAAAGGGATTAATTAAAACTACATTAATAATACATTAAATGTAAATAAAAATTTAATTCGTTATAAGAATTACATATGTGACTAAATTTAAAAAATTTTGAGCAGTGATTATCTCGAGAGAGAATATCAAAATTGATAATGCCCTTTATGTGCAATATTATTTTTATAATTATTTGAATTGAATTATAATACTATATCCCAAAAGAAACAAAAAATTATATAACTAAGCATCAATGAAATGAGCTTTAATTGCAACATATTTAAGTACACAAAATATTATTTCTTTATTTATCTCACAGACCAGATATTCATCCAATTTCAATCGAATAAAACTTTGATTTTTTCCTATCGCCTGGTGTTTGTTATAATTTGTTTTTATTCAAAGAGGCATCTCGTAATTAAGAAGTAGTGATTTATCGATAAATGCTAGTATAAGGCTCTTTAAGATCTTCAATTGATATACACTCATTATTTCCTATTTTATATAATTGATTACGTTAATTAGCTAAGTTAAATATAATTAAAGAAATAAAAATGTACAACCCAAATAATAATTGTTGGGTACAACTGATGGTAATGCAATTTATATATACATATATATATATATATATATATATATATATATATATATATATGTTTTCAGATCAAATTAATCGAATTATTAAAATTAAAGTTTTTTTTTTCACAACAAGATTCGATTAACTCGTTGCAAACAAAACTTTAACAAAAAAAAAACTAATAATATTATTTTTGACTTCAATATTCATTATATCTATTTTTTATGCCTTAAGTACTAATAATAAACTTTTCATAAATAGTTTTTATATTGTTATATAGAAAAAAATCATATTTTGTTATTAGACATTGATATATTTATATATATATATATAATTTCTAAGCAATTTATTCAATAAATAAAATAAATGTGCTTTGTATAGTTGTTAAATTACGACGTTTCGGAACTAGATGTGTTCCATCATCAGGTTTTTTTGTCGAAATATTTTTTTACGACAAAATAAAATTGATGATAATTAATATTATTACAGAATATTAAAAAACTTATAGAGAAAATGATTGTATAATGGCCTTTATTTCAAAAAGAAAAAAAATGTGTAGAAAATAATATTATTAATTTCTAATCTTCTCCAATTTTTTTTTAATTTTTTAAAAAGAGGTTCACAATCCATTTCTAAGTTTTTTAATATCCTATAATCATCATCAACGATGTTGTTATTTCATAAAAAAATGTTTTCGACACAAAAAACACGTAGATGGAACGTATCTAGTTCCGAAACGTCGTAATTAAAATGTTTTTTTACAGGAAATCCTAATGAAGAAACATATCTTGATCCGAAACGTCGTGATTAAAATTGTTTTTGACAGAAAAATCTAATAATGAAATGAGGAACATATTTGAAAATAAATAACAGCCCATTCGTTGAATAAGAAAAGAGTGTTAAAAGAAAAACATTCTTTCTTAATTATACGTTTCGACACTTGGTGTGTGTCATCATTTATTTGTTCTGGTTGAATTGCTGAATGATGGCAACATCAAGTGTCGAAACGTATACTTGATTGAACGTTTTTTTCCAACTCTTTATTTTCATTCAACGAATGGACAGGAAATTATTTTCATATATATATATATATATATATATATATATATATATATATTTATATATATATATATATATATATATATATATTTACATAAAAACTATTTATGGAATTCCATTCAATCAAAACTATAGTTTATCTATTACAATTGCATTATTAAATAAACAGCATAAATTGATAGACGTTTTATAGAGACAAAACATTTTCTCTCGTTTGATATTAAATATTGTCCGAGGCTTCTATATGATTTAGAAATATCCAGAAATTATTCAGGTGTAATTATAAAATTCAATTTAGAATATATTGTGCTATAAGATTGAATAAATTTAAATTTTCAATAGCTAAAGAATAAATTTAAATTTTCAATAATTTGAGCAATGCTAAAGATAGATACAAAAATTTTATGAAAACCATAAAAATTAAAAGAAAAAATAATTTCACATTAATAATATATCAGCAATGCATGATATACCATTTAAATAACATTATTTCACTTCTATTATCTGAGGTTACTATATCTCGTAATTAATTTATTAACTATTACTAATTATACAAAACTTAATCACTTTTACATAGCCTAATACATTGATATATTTTCAAAATATACTCTGCTCACAAACAAGTCGATCCAATACTCTCATCTTGGATTAAACCGAGTCATCTGAAAAAACAAAATATAACATATATAGTCCAGTCATTTGGTGCAAAAAAAGGCTGTTGCCGGTACAGTACTCCGGGAATTCTGAAAATTTGTAATCTTATAGATTTCGAGGTGCTCTTTACGAAAATCAACTTTGCCACCTCAAATTTGAACGGCAAGTTACCGCCATATTGGAAAAATGGCGTCAAAAAACAGCTTTTTTAAAATATCTCCTTTCTGGCTCATTCTACGATAAAAGTATCTATGTACGAACTAAACTAGATAAAATTTCCTACAATTTTTTAGAAAACCGTTTTTGTGTAAAATTGATAGTTTGAGAGTACGGCCGCCTCAAAGTCTTTGCTGCTCTCGCCGTAGTATCAAATCTCTCCATATATGACAGCACTTTGAACTTGACCACATTCTCTCTAATAAATAAATATTTTCAATTGGGCGAATAAGATCTAGAAATAAAATTATTCAAATATTTTTCTGTTTTTTGGCTGATTTTTTAACACTTCAATGGCAAAGTAGCTATAAGTAAGTAGCTTGAAGTGTTAAAAAATCAGCAAAAAAACAGAAAAATATTTGAATTATTTTATTTCTAGATCTTATTCGCTTAATTTAACATTGAAAATATTTATTTATTAGAAAGAATGTGGTCAAGTTCGAAGTGCTGTCATATATGGAGAGATTTGATACTACGGTGAGAGCAGCAAAGACTTTGAGGCGGCCGTACTCTCAAACTATCAATTTTACAAAAAAACGGATTTCTAAAGAATTGTAGGAAATTTTATCTAGTTTAGTTCGTACATAGATACTTTTATCGTAGAATGAGCCAGAAAGGAGATATTTTAAAAAGCTGTTTTTTGACGCCATTTTTCCAATATGGCGACAACTTGCCGTTCAAATTTGAGGTGGCAAAGTTGATTTTCGTAAAGAGCACCTCGAAATCTATAAGATTACAAATTTTCAGAATTCCCAGACCAAATGACTGGACTAATAACCAATTGCCAATTTTATCAATGGTCCATTTATCACTTACCATGGTACCACCACTTAGTCTTCTTAGGATTCTTATTGCACGTCTTAACGTAAAACGAGTTATCTGGTGGTCGCTTCTTCTCTTTGCACGAGCTCAGCATCGATGCAATGCTGAGGCAGACGGCCTGGACGGACAGTGCAGGCGACCAGTCATCAGTTAGAATCGATAGGCAGATGTGCCCATTCGAATAAACGTGTGGGTGTACCGGTATGTTCTGGCCGATGAAAGTCACCTAGATAGAAAATGATAATAACAATGGGATCGATAAAAATAATAGACGAGTTAAAAAATAGGAAGATGAATATTTGGAATCATTTTTGGGTCGTTAAAAAATTATATTTTTTAGAAGGTTTCGTTGTACACAGTAATTTCATACTTAAGCTAAGGTAACCATATTTTTTAAAGTCAATACATGGACGGCAAATTCAAATAATATTCTAATAATGATAATAAATCTATTTCGGAACGGGACGGCGGAGTCTCTTAATAAGAAATGAAATTGAAGGATGCACTAAAAACAGTTTTTTACATTTTTTTTAATATAATTGTGAACCCTTAAGTAAAAACTGTATTCCTCGATTATATGTTTCACCCTTTTTTATCTATGATATAATTATATCTTATATTTTATCTCGATTATATTTTTTTATCTATATTATATAATATCTTATATTTTTACATCTATCTTTGATTCGCTCTTGAAACATTATAAAAATTTAATTTTCTTCATAATTGATTTAAAAAAAACAGCGCTTTTTTATTCGTTTTCATAAGTTTTCTTAATTTTCATAAAATTAAATATGAAAGTTCTAATTTATTTATGTGAGAGGCCCTTAGCAATTTTATCATTCATAACGCATTATTTCATATAAGCATATTCGTTGTATATTTTGTTTTATTTCGTAACTGTAATTTTAGAAGATTCGATTTAAACCCATACTGCCAAACCGGGATGTATAGTCACCTTGCTTAAAAGCTGCTTAATATATATATATATTTTTGAAATAGCCATTTTTATAGATAAATATTTATATAAATTCAATTGATAATTACAGTGATGCCAAACTTGTTAAGAACAAAATAAATTATTGATTGGTATTATCAAGAGACCATTTCTTTGTAAGTCTTGTATTTTGTTGTAGTTGTAGTTGCAGGATGTCCTTTAAAGTCTGTTTTAAATATATCTCCAATCTGCTTCGATATCTTATTATCCTGGTATATTTCACAAATAGTCTTCATTTTTAGATCATTATAATTAGTCTGATTAGTGATGTACCGAGAGTTAAATATTGTTCTCTCGAGAGTTTATAGCAAGACTTAAGTAGGCAATAGATCAATTGATTGCAAACAGAATAGTTTGATTGTTTGGTACCAAGATTTTCTAAAAGTTACCCAGTGCCTCAACCAGTTTTGTAAAATTAATCAAAAAAATTCTATGTCTCTAACGAAATTTCTATGAAGATTGGCTAAATTTATTAAATATAATTATTATTTTGTTTTTATAACTAATCTGTATTAATGAACAACTCAACAGAGTGATATAAACATTAATTATTTTAATTGTAATTTTTGAGAAATATTTTTGCGTGTTCAAGCGAATAAAATCATGTACTGACAAATATATTTTTCTCAAGTGAGGCGAATCAAAAAATATATAAAAACCAACAATTATAAATTTATAAATTTATATATATATATATATATATATATGTATATATATATTGTTATTACCTCTGGTGAATCGAATGGATATTTATTCGTAAACTTAAATTGCAACTGAAAATGTTCTCCTTCATACAGAGTGCCTTCCACACCATCCATATTCACAACCCACCTGGAATAAAAATTTCTGATATTACTTAAGTAATATTATATATTAAAGTAATTGTAAAAAAAAACAAAAAAAACGATCTGGCTGATCCTCATAAAAATATTTGATTCAGTTGATCTATTGGTATTTGAAAATAAGTGAAAAAAAAGATCTTCCGTACAAAAAAACATATTTGTGATTTTGTTGAAAATATATTTTATACGTGTATAATTTGTTCTCATTTCAATTATTCAAATTAATCAGGTTTATCTTTTCTATGTCTTTATACAAATCTTAACTTAGAATTAAACCTAGTGGTAAATTTTCGTGCTACATTTAGTGGCGCCTCTATGGAGTGCGGAAACAATTAAAATTGAAGTAATGTTTATGCGACTGTGTTAGCAACCGAATATAAGATTTTACCGAATTTTAATAATAACAACACCCGATTCATAAACTTAATCATTTAACTCTGTTTGGTTAATTAATGTATCTTTAGATGAGAAAACAATTCACCAATGCGAATCGCAAAAGTTAAGGGGGTCTTCCTATGTGATGGGTTGAAAAAATCGATTTTTTTTTCATAAATTGCTCCCTTAACATGTCTAGAATACGGTAGTAAAGCGATTTTAGAAAATTTGAAGTCGTTTTAAAGATACAGCAGGTAAAAGAAAGAGCGGTTCGGAGCGCTGAGTTGGCAGTTAGAAACTTTAAACGTGTTTTTCTCAAAACTGTGTTTTTCAAACTTGTCTCCATTGTATCTCAGAAACGGCTGGACCGAATTACTTGAAATTCACAGGGCACACTCAATATATTTAAACTTCGATTTTTTTATAGCAAAAAACAAAAAAACGCCTAATTTGCAACTTTTATTTCAAATGCCTATCAAAAATCCAATTTTTTTTATATTCATTTGATAATAGGTCATTCCGTGCTTTTAAGCCTACAAATTAAAACGCCTACAAATTAAATTTTTTTTTTCAGATAAGCCGATCAGCCGGAATCGTGAAGGAAGTGGGAGCTCTTTTTTTCGAGGCGGGGGTGTTCAGAGCGCTGTAACTCTAGTTTGACTGAATATTTTTAGCTGAAATTTTATATTTATACTGTCCAAATATGTGTTAATAAATGATAAAAAACTTGAAGCTCTAAATATTTACTGGTCGTAGAAAAAAAATCCTAAAATATCCCTAAAAAACAGGCCGTCACATAGGAAGACCCCCTTAACTCTGTTCGGTTAAATAATGAATGTATCTTTAGATGAGAAAACAATTCACCAACGCGAATCACAAAAGTTAACAAGTTTCTAATAATCTTAGGTATAAAATTCTAAAACTAATTAGTTAGTAATAATTAATTAATTACTGTTGTAAATTCTGCCCTGCCTGGTCCCCGTCCACGGTGACACCGGGCGGGGGCTCCCTCATCAGCGCCATCAACTCTTTCTGAAGTCTTCTCTGGAAAACAAAATAGACATAATTAGTAATATTAAATTAATGAATTCTTAATTGTATTTCACGACTTCAGTAAAAGATATTATTACTTTTATGACCATATCTTTGACTGTCTCTTTGTATTCGATGGATTGTAGATTTATTTATAGGTATATGAATATGTCACAAATAATTTTTATTTTCTTTGTATGAAATGAAAACATTTGAGAGTAGATTTTTTATAGTATGTCAAAATTAATCAATAGTTCGATGTTATAAATCGATAAATAATTGGAATGATTTTGACATTAGCTTTATATAAATACACACACATATATATATATATATATATATATATATATATATATATATATATATATATATATATTAGGGTGGTCCTTAAAAGGGTCATTTTCGAATTTTCTTGCTCCCAGGGGCTCAAATGGTTCCAAATTGATAAAAAACAATTCCCTGGAAGTTTTAGCTCTTAATATTAACATTTAGATAGAGCGCAATTCAATCAAAGTTTGTATAGAAAGAGCATGGAAAATTTTTTGAAAAATTAAAAAAAATGTTTTAGGTATAACTTAGCGCCAAATGAATGAGTTTTATTCATTCATTTGTTCGCTAAATTACATCTAAAAAACATTTTTAATTTTTTTAAAAAAATTTCCATGCTATTTCCATACAAAACTTTGATTGAATTGCGCTCCATCTAAACGTTAATATTAAGAGCTAAAACTTTCAGAAAATTGTTTTTTATCTATTTGGAACCATTTGAGCCCCTGGGAGCAAGGAAATTCGAAAATGACCATTTTAAGGACCACCCTAATATATATATATATATATATATATTTAAATCATTAAAAATTTTAAAATCATTTTTCGACTTGCCTCAAGTCTACCACCATGGAGTACTCCATCTGGTTTCTTTTTGCTACGATATAAAGCACCACTAACTTTTAACGACATTTTTTTAAATAAAACTGTTTATTTCTATATTTCAAAATATTTATTAATTAATTATTATATAATCAGTTGTCCGCATCTTATATGTTCAAAATTCACTTCTTTCTTTGATCACAAAACACCAAACTTAAATAATTAAGTTGTTAGAAAATTACTATTGGTCTCTTTAGGTAATATTAGTGTAACTTTTATTTGAAATGGATATTACAAATAGATTTTAACTAAGATATTGAAACTCTTTAATCCCTCTTAATTTTTTTTACACAATCTAATATTTCGTAAGATTTTCAGAATTTAGTACTTTGATTATTATTAGCGCAAAATCATTAAACTATTTTTATTAATGATTATTAATGAAGAAGCTTATTAAAAATATTAAGGATTTTTTAAATCCTTTCAAAATTTAAAAATAATGATAAGATTTTCAAAACAATTTCAAAATTCAAATTATCTAAAATCTACAAAGTTTTCAAACAATATCGAATATTTCAAAACTCTCAAGAAATATTATATAAATTAAATAAATTTATATTTATTATTTAAAAAATATAAAATTTTAGTTTTAAAAAAATTCATTTTCAAAAAAATCTAATTTTACAAAATATTCAATGGTTTTAAAAATTCTCAGATTTTTTCTGTTTTCAAATAATTTCGAAATTCCAAGATTTTTAAATCGTTCTCATTTAAAATGTTCATTCATTAATTATTGTAACTATTCATCATCTATTTCTTTGGTCTGGCGTACAATGTGATACCACCACTAGTTCAATTCTTCCAAAAATAAAAATATTTTTTTGATGAATATCTTCTAAAAATATATTTTGAATTAAATATTTTTTGACCCCAGAAGTCTCTAATAAATCATAATAAATATGCCTGATGGTTCTGGAAATGTACAGATGGTTTAATTCCTAAATGGGGCCCCAATATAAATTCGACTTTATGCAATACTAGCTGATAGCATACTAACGGAGCTCTAGAATCCATAAAGACGAGAGATGCACTTTACGACAGATTTAATAATAGTTTGGCAGCTGGATTTACTTTTAAACGAATAAAGTAAAATGGAAAAACTCAAGTCTGTGAACCAAGCTCTGGACAACCTGATATCAAGCAGTACGATATAAAAATAAAATATGCTTCAGGCTGAAAATGGCCATAAGCACAACAGGATATCTATCACTATGCTTTCCTAATTCGAGTTGAATTTTTTGAAATAAAACTTCTGTAGGCGCGAATAGGGTGTAAATCCGTACAAATACAATGGAAGTGCGTTACAGCAGATAAGATAAGATAAGAGTCAAGTGCCAATGTTTCGTCATTCGCTCTCGATGATATCATTCCTATGCGGGTCGATTGTGATTAGTCGTCGAGTATGTGAATAGAGATCTGTGGTTGTATGCGTACTGGCATCAACGTTATATGCGTACCGATATCAACAAGTAAATCGTCGTAGATAAATAAACATTTTAATGTTACATCCTGGTACAAATCTTGATTTAATGAAAAATGCCTGAATCAAAAGAATATTTTACACTGTTCCTTGAAAATATAGATTAAATAAGATTAATAATTAGTAAGTTTATTGATTAGAAATTATTTTTATATTATTCGTGGTTTCTATAAATCTTTAAGTTATTAAAATGGAAAATATTTTTTAGGCAAAACAGATGTTACAGATGTTCAAAGAATGAGATTATATCGCCAGCGAAAAAGTAAAAAAATACAAGCAGTCAATGAATGTATGTTAATTTTAATCACATGAAGTTCTTCAAACACAATTACATTAAAAAACATTATTTGTTTAGGGGTTGTTTAACATAATCCACTGTGTGAACGAATATTATAGAATTTATTAATCAGCAATTACTTCATTTCTCTAATGAAGGTTCAAGTCCTAAATGCTAATTACAATGACAAACCGATCATGTTATATTTGAAGTATGACTTTAATTACATTATTGTTTTTAAATATTATACATATTTTTATTGCTATTATAAATATATAATTTATAATTTATCATTATATAAATGTGTATAATGGTTGACACTAATAAATGTGTGCATCACGAGTGTTATCATATTACTAATAAACATTGTTCAAAATTGTTATATGATGTATTTATTTTTACTTAAATGCCATCTTGTACATTAGCAACCCATCTCTAATAGTGATGATATTCAAACTAATTGCACCAAAATGCGGAAAGAGCTATTCCCACTTGCATCTATATTTGCAAGTGAAAATGAATACCACTACTGCTTGATATCAGGTTGCCCAAAAACTAGATTGTGAATCCGAAAATGGAATTTCACCGATTGATTATTATTATTCTTCCAACTCCTTGTCTATAATCCTCCTCTAACATATATCGAGGAATTATATATATCTGGTAAGAGTGCAATGCACCTCTTTTACGCGGAAGCGAACGCAAAAGAGCAACTTGGGCTCTTAACTCTCTTGACTTGAATCTTAACGATTCAATCTTAAAAGTATCTTATATCAGAGTGTAACGACTAACGACACTAACTACGAGCAAAACAGATTTGGAGCGGTGCCAAAAACGGACGACATCGAATTTTTAAGGAAAAAAACTTAACGAGCGCATTTATGTCCGGCGACATGTCGCATTTTTGCTAATTTAGATATTTTGAGATTTGTAGGCTTATTCTCGGATAACATAACATGTCACCAATAAGAGGAGGTTGAAGATTTGGTATTCTCATTGCACCTGATAAATTATTTACTTCCCGAAGGAGAAGTTTACGTTTTTAACAGAAAATCCTATTTGCTAATTTTATGTCTTCTCGACGTTTCAAGTTATTCTGCAAAACGGATGGGTTTACAAATGTAGATCCAGGATCGATTTTCGGAAGATCCTTGCCGATTGAACCAAGGATGGATAATGCAATAATAAAAGCAAATGAAAATAAAACAGTAATAACTATATTAAAAATAAAAATCATGAGCTATTAAAATATAATAAAATCAATTAATCTAAATATTGAAAACAAATGAAAGAACTTCAACAGAAAGTATTTCATTCAACATGTATCAAAAAGTCTTGTTGTTTTTCTGTTTGATGTTTTCATTTGTCATATCTTCTTACTTCAACTTTGTATAATATTTTCCTTTACTATTAACTTTGTATAATATTTTCAGCATGCGTCTAACGTTCCGAATGATGACACACATGCAGTGTCGAAACGTATATAATCAATAGTTAAAAAAAAATAATAATTCTCAATCGAATTAGATCAAATTTGGAAAAAGTGTGTGTATGTAGGATATATGTGGACAATTTTTTGTCCACGATTTCAACCTATTCGAATGATTCAACTAGTGGTGAATGGCATTGTGCTTTAAGGCAAATTGCCGTACCAAAAATTGAAATTTTTAAGAAAGCTTTATAAATTTTTGTAAACTGTAAAAAAACAGATTTTTGAGAATTTTAAAATTTTGGAAAAGAATTGACTTGGTTGAAATTCTTTTTTTTTACATTTTGAAACTTTTATTCAAAGCAATCCCGCTGTGTACCATAAAAATGTACACATAATTTGTGCATATTATTAAAATATCTGAAAATTTGATATGCATATATTTATATTATATATAATAATCATTTTTGACCGCCAAATGGATTTTTTTTATTACTTTTTATTGAAACTCCGAAACGACTGGACCTGCCTTTGCCAAAAACTAATCAGCCTGTATTCCCATCAATGAAGGAGAAGTTTATGTTTTTGACAGAAAATCCGATTTGCTAATTTTATATTTTTCGAAGTTTTAAGTTCTGAAGTTTTTGAAAAAGTGTATCTGTGTATGTAGTATATATGTGTGTGTATGTTGGATACAAATTTTCGTTCACGATTTTGAGAACACGAATCAACCGATTCGAATGATTCAATTATCGTGGTGCATGGTATCGTAAAACTTCATAAGTTTTTGAAAACTCGAAAAAAAGATTTGAGAAAAAATTTTAAAGATTTTTTGAGAATTCTAAAATTTTAAAAAAGTTGGACTTTTATGAAAAATTTAAT